TTGGAGATGCTATCTCATCATCTCATGTAATCTTTCCATATCAACTACATAACCCGATTGTTGAGCAGGGTGATGACTCAATATTTGTAGGAGACACAATTCTCTTATAGATAGACCATCAAGTCAGGGGGATTTTAAGTGGCATGACCCCCATAATACTAGGACTGGGTGGAAAATACTGGGACTAGAATATCTTTAATGTCAAGAATATATCATTTAAACAATAACAACAAAAAGTATACCAGGTGATATATAAATGTGTCTTGACTAAGAAGAAAATAATGAAAATAAACGTCTACTTTACTCATAGAATTTCTGTCTTCTACAATCATCATAAACAGCAATAACAGCAATGACAACAATACATGCAACATGGTCTGGCCAGCTGAGTAACTTTGCAAAGAAGCTTTGTATAGCAAAAATTTTGAAAAGTACTGGAATAGAGGAAAATAAAAATAATGTTGAAAACTATATTCCTTGCAAAATACATTCTACAATTATTGTCTCTACAGAACAATATTTAAAGAAATCTAATCCAGCTTTACAATGTTATGCATTTCATTCTGATTTCAGGTATTGCGAGTCATTATTTCATTCTTAAATAAAAACCAGCATTTAAAATCCTTTACCTTCAATCCAATTTCTTTCAAAGTTAGATTCAGAAAAACAAAAAGACACCATTCCAGGTTTTTGGTAGCGTGTGATTGGGAGATGAAAAATTGCAAATATAAATTTATTTCTAAAACCTTGAGCGTGTGTATATAAATATATATGTGTATATAAATATATATGTTTATATATAGTCTTTTCAGTGTCGATATTCATGTTTAAATTGTGAATTTATATCACTTTTATAGTGATGCCCACCGTTACCTTATTTTTTGACTGACAGTGATGGGATTTCAGTCATGCTCAGCCCTTCCAACAGTGCCAGTGATGGGATTTTTTGAAATCGTATTACTGGTTGCACTGCCCTGATCTCAGATGGAACTTTCAATCAAAAAGGCAATCAGAAGGTTGTACATTCGTGAGATTCCCTGCAAAGCCAGTGATCGCATAATACACCTTGTTGGAAAGGCCTGCTTGCCTCCTGTCTTATGTGGCTATAAAGAGTAATTGGCTACTTCGCTCTCAGCGCCTGCTTTGCCTTCTCCAGAATTCAGCATAGCCCAGAACTCTGTTGGGTCTCAGTGTGGAATCTTGCTGCTCCTAGGAGATTTCCAAGTCTCATGCAGAGACTTGTCTTACGTTAAGCATCTGATGAAGCAAAAAACTCTCCCAAAGACACACTTGGCTCTTTCTCAGCATTCTTGTTTCACTGGTGATGCCAGTGAATCTAAATTTTATCTTATATACATACAAACACTTACCCACACATTTCTCCAAAACACTATTACTGTAAAGTCCATATTCTAGAAATCACAATTCTGCGTGGCCAGGCTAAACTTGAATTTAATTTCTAGCATATGTTAATCATCCTATTATAAACTATTTTTAACCTTATTACTATACTCATAAAAGATTATTATAAAGAATGGCTTCAGTACTCTTTAGTCTACATATATGGATGTTTAAAAGACATTTTTGTAATTTGATTTGTTCAAATAGTGAACAGGGGTGAGGCTGAATTGATCCCATGTGGTGTCCAATCACCCAGGGATGCATTAGTTCCCCAGGCAGGGACCTTGAATTGTGAAGTAGGCAGAGGGAGATAATTTTGTCTCACTTGGTTCCAACTCACTGGTTCTTCTCCATTAGGCAGAGAACCCTTGGGCAGGGATAAGTTTCAAGAATGAAAAAAGACTGATGCTTGGGACACAATAAAGACCTACAGACACATTAAAATGCCTATGGACTGAATGAGCATTTCTTTTGCCAAATAACCACACATGTAATATGTAAGACATATGTCAGTATTGCTGCGACAGAAAACAATGCACAGAGACAAAAATAGTCACTTTAATAAAGTTAAAAAATGCATTATTTAAAGAGTTGTGTATGGCATACTCAAATCCTAAAAGTTTAGGAACCCCATCAACCTCTTTTGGTTCAGGAAATTTTAGCAACTCTATTGCCAAAGTAAAAAGTACTTGAAGTCAAGGTAGGGGTGTGTGTGTGAGAGTGTGTGTGTATATTCCTCAGATCTTTATTAAATTCAGGGTACTCTAAAAGTATAGCTCATCCCTGTATGAACATGGTATCATTTACTTGATTCCATATTAAAAAAACCTTAAATGGGCTATTAAGCACAGTCAGCATGATGGTGACAAAGAAAATCAACAAGAAAACCACACTTTCATTCTCTCTTTCTGGGCAAAGTAAATTTTGAGATAAGATTGGACAACTGGTATACCAGATATTATCTCCTGCCCTTGAAAATCACCATATGAAGATTATTTTATTGATTGCCAAGATTGGAAGATATGGATTTCATACTCCTGAAAACTAGTGTAATTTTTGTTAGACATGTTTATATGTCTCTAACCTATGCCATTTCACTGAAAGGTACACTAGAAATGAGTCTGGTATGCAAGAGAGAAGTGAAGTAATAATCTCGCCTTGGTTTAGAATGTGAGATAGTCAGAATATTAGTATTGGTTACTACTAAAACTACCATTAATGATCTGCATTCACCAAGTATTTGCTTTAGTCACTGTGCCAAGTCCTGGTGTATTTTAAAGTCAATTTGGGCCATCATTTTGACTTCATGGAAAAGTGTTCAATAGCCATGATGATAAGCACCAAAGACGAACTATTCTCAGGCAAGAGAAACTCAATAAGGTGTCAGTTAAGTCACTGAGCACTGGGTAGTTGTAAATTCTAAGTATAATAGTCAAACTTCATAAAAATCACAGTGGAGTCAGCCTCCAGAAGTTGGTGCCTTTGGTTTTCTAGCCAAAGCCATACTTTTCTCAGGCAGCCCCAAGCCAATGACTGAGATGGCAGGGCAACTGGAGTCTATTTTTTTTCTTTTTTAATATTTATTTATTTATTTATTTTGGGCTGCATCAGGTCTTAATTTCGGCCTGCGGGATCTTTCATTGAGGCCCACGGGCTCTTTAGTTGGGGCACACGGGCTTAGTTGCCCCGTGGCATGTGGGATCTTAGTTCCCTGACCTGGGATCAAACCCACGCCCCCTGCATTGGAAGGTGGACTCTCAATCACTGGACCACCAGGGAAGTACCTGGAGTCTATTTTTTCCCAATGAGAGACTCCTCTAACAGGATTCCATTAAAATCCCTGCTTTGCCTTGCAAAGATTTGTCAGGTCTGCTTAGCAGTCTAAGGCTCTCTTGTCAAATCCTGCTTCCTAATCTCTCTACTTTTACAAGTTTTAAAATCTGCATTCCTGTATGAAAACTTTCCCTGCTCAATCCTGTTTCCTTTCTCTTTTATCTTTTACTCCTAACTCTGATTTAGCATTTGCTTCCAGGAGGACCCAACTGGCACAGCTGGACTAGCCTTTACATACACTGTGTTTCTTTAATGTCCCTGTTGGTATCTTGCTGTGTGATCATTGCCAAACCATTTCTCATTTCTGGTTCTTTATAATGAAGACTCTTACAAATAAAAGTGATCCTTATGATAATTTAGTTGAATGTTCTAGAATTCTAATTAGAGTTGATGACTCTGTTAACCGATCTTCATCTCATGGGGAAAAAAAGTGATGACAACAAAGGTATTTATAAAAATATATTTCACAAAGTAGGAAACAATACAGGAGTTTCTCTGAATACAATACATGGAGTAAATAAACAATATTGCATTAAAGCAAAGTAGAAAATTAAAATGATCTGCATGTAGTACTTGAGTTTTATCATACATTTTCTACTCCTAAATGGCAGGTTTGCATTAGAAATTGAATATGCTCACATCTTCTAGTGCTGTTCTCTTTTGGAGTCTAAGACATTCTGTGCATCACCATGAAGATCAGGGAGAGAAGTGCTAAAAACAGAAGCAGTAAAATTATGTACAAATCAGTTCCTGCTCTAAAACTGTGGAGGCAACTTGAAGCATGTTTATTGGGCAGGGCATTATGTAGGCATCTAAAAGTCTAGAGTTTAAATATTCACATGAATCAATATACTTTCAGATGTTTGTGCTTGTAGTAAAAACACCAAATACTAGGATTATGAACAAAATAGAAAACAGTCCAAAAGTTTCTCTGGGAAAATGCTGTTCCTGCCATCACCAGTCACAATAACACTTTCTACTCTAAAGAGACTATTAGCTTCCCTTTTGATAATATTGCCTGCCATACTCATCTCATCAAAATGTACATGTATTAAACAGTCATTGTATATATATTTATATAAAACAATCTAAAGTATTATTAATGGATATAATTTAGGGGTTTTTTTCATATAGTCCCTTAATCTATAGATTACCAACCTTAATAAATAAAAGCATTAATGGACATCAATAAAATATTTATTTCGAGGATTAAACAAATAAATTCACGCGCTAGCAATAAAATCATCTGTCTCTTATGTAGTCCACTGTGTGACACAGTTTATCTTTGTGTCCTTGTGGGAGAAGATGAACCGGGGGGGATGAGTAATCCTGCTTCCAGAGAACAAGCCTGTTTGAATGGGATTTCTCTCCTCCCACTATTGAGTTGGCAGTCCCCACCCTGGAATGGATTACAAGCATGTGAATATTTTAAGGCTCGACACAATATTTAAAGATGCTATTCAGTCTCTGATGAATGGGGCCAACAATTATGTACAAGGTGTGGTCACTGTACCGTATAATCTAGGAGGCCTCCCAAAGCTCCAGAAAGTCAGAGTGTACAGCAGACCAAGTATTGCTTTATCATTTGTGGCGGGATCCTTATTGGTGAAGGGGAAAAAACCATTTGCATTTATAAAAATCCTTGCAGAAGACACATAGCAGTAGCAAATTTCTTGCAGGTCCATTTTTCTAAGAAAGCACCTTTTTAAGTTTGATTTTTTCCTCTTTTTAAACCGTTTCTCTAAGGACGAGCCAGGATCCCAATCTCTGTGGTGGTCAGGTAAATATCAACTATCCAAAGACTTCTAGACACTCCACATACTTTAATTCACACTCCACAAGATTTATAACCTCCTAACATATACTTTTTTATTTTTATTATTACTTTTTTGGTTCAACATTAAAATGTAGTTGAGTTTATAGATGATTGGTGCTAAACTTGCCTCTAAAACAAATTGCCACATTGGTTGTATCTAAGGGGAGTGACCCTAGAATATTACAGAATGCTCAGTTCCCACTGATTCATTCCTAATCCACTGTCAAGTTTCTTTGTCACTTTCACCGACAGAGTAGAGTTCGCCCAGTCTCTTAAAGCGAGGACCCCAGTCACTGAGGTAGTCAAAATTCTGATCCGAGTCTGAGGTGGTGGACTCCAGGGAGCTGAGGGAGCCGGCCACAGACCCTCGGCCTTCATAGCCATAAATCTGAATGGAGTCGTACGGTGGGGCTGTGGGGTCGTTATCTGCCTCGTGTAGCCGCACATTTATAAATTCATCCACATCCACACCGCTCGGAACTGGAGCAAGCCCTTGCCTTGGCATAAATTGCAAATCTGGTTTAATATCTTTACGGGGTAAAAATCCATTAATTCCATCTGGGTTTTGTAAAGTTGCAATGTCAAAAGCCTCCGTGTCTTCTTCCCCTCCTCCTTCGTCATCGTAGCGAATGATGTTTTCTCGCACATCTTCATCATCTTTGATAATTAAAGGCTCGTTTTTATGTCGCCGCAGAGTTACAAACAGCACCACGATGACTACAGGAAAAACACAAAATAGCGATTAGCCAGACTCAGGTATAATTTCACAAGCAACGCATCGTGTATGTTAAGAGAGAGGGGCGCTATTTAAAAACTTACTGAGCACGTACCTTTCATGCATTCACTTGGGAATTAAGTGAAATACCTTTCTGAAGTATGAGCAGTGAATTTTGAGTGAATTCTATTCCAGGTTGCTTCTGTTTATTAAATGGTGATGAAGAAGCTGGGTTAAAAGCACAAGTTTGCATTTGTTTATGGTGAAAGCTACATTTAATACCGTTAGGAGCTCTAGAGTGAACGGCCCAAAAAGGGAAACAGCACCGATAGCATAACTAACTTGCTGTGTGTCTTGGGCAGTTCGTTCAATACTTTTTGGCTCCATGACCCCTCTTCTATAAAGAAAAAGGAGCTGAACAGATCATATTCAGTACATTTTGTGTTTTTTTTAAATCAGTCCTTCAAGACTCTTTCCAATAAAATAATGTCCATTCACAGATGAAATGATATATTAAGGTGAATGTCAACTTTGCATGGGCAACTTCTTCTCTTGTATGAAAGCTAGCACTCCACTATCTGGTAAGGTAGGACTACGGGTCGGGGAAGGGAGGGGAACACATAAAAAACTAGCCAGATCAGCCACACCACACTTGGGCTAATGACATTAAAAAAATGTGACAGGAAACGGTGATCAACTCAGGGTACTGGGTGAACAGAACAGATGTAACCAGGAAGGTAAAAACTGACATAACCTTCATCTAAGGGCAGGATAAGATATAACTTTCCTTTTGTGTGTCTTCCTACTGTCTAATCTCATTTTTATAATTGGATTTTTTAGTAGAAAAGTTACAAAAACGTTTTCTTATTTTGCAATCTTCATCTAAATTTGATTGTAGTATCAAGAAAAATATCTGAGAAACAATGCAGTTTTGAAGAAAATGTATTTTTTGTTTGGGTTTTTTTTTGTTTGTTTGTTTTTGTCTTACCAAATTTTGTGATTGGATGGACTCAGTAACCCAATCTATACATTGTTTAGATAAAAGAGTATTTTGGACATATATGTGCCCCCAATGAAGTAAACTGGTGTGTATCAGAAGATCTGGAGGCCTTCTAATGTAATAGTTGCTGTTGTAACCACATAAAGGTCCATCCCCACTTCCACCACCATTATGCTTAGTCTTTTCACCAGTGATGGGATTAAAAAAGGCACTGAATAGTTCTCTCCAATTGAATATTTACTACTACAATTCTTTTTTTTTTTTCCCTTCTCTTAGTGACCTCAAAGCTTGGAGAAGTATATACAAAGGAATTTTTCTTCCAAAGAATGCTAATTAGGGTTTTCTAGGCTGGGTTAGGGTTTTCTGTCCTTCTTTACAGTCATTTATGAACCAGAAAAATGGTGACCATTCGGCTATGAAGAAAATACATACCTAGCAGCAAAATGATGCATGCTAATATGGCAATTAAGGCGCCCATACTGAGTCCAATCGGAAGTACATAAGCTTCAACATTACAAGACTGGACAACACCATCACTGCTGCAGCCACAGACCCGGATGGTCAGGGTACTGGTGCTGCTCAGAGGAGGATTCCCGCTATCACTGATTATGATTGGTAAAAGATAGACTTCTTGCTTCTGGCGGTTGAATCCATTATGCTTTGCCAAAATGCTGAGGGAATTATCTGGAAAAAGTGAAAATTACAATAGTTTGCATCATTTCAAAACGGCTGCCCAAACAACACTTGTTTTTCTAGTTCATAAATCCTCTGCAAGCCTCAAGACAATCCCAACTCCACTGAACCACTCCAGCTCTCTCCCTCTCCCCTTTCCCACTTTCCCAGTTGGCATGGACCAAAACATCCACACCCTAACAGGTTCAGTAAGCTTGGTCTCAGGATAAACTAATTGTGTTTTACCACCACCTTGTAAATGCAAAAGATTTCTTTTACAAAAATGATCTTCAAGTGTCCTTTTAGAAGACACAGATTACCCCAAGTCCCCATAAATAAGTTGAATGTTCTCTCGTTTGTCCTGATAATGCAAACGTGACAGAATTTCATCACATTTGAAAGTCATGTTTGAAAAGCTTTGTGTTAAGAGTAGACTATATGACAGTATGGCATACAAAACAATGCATTTGACTCCCATAGGTACCTAAAAACACTTACTCATGCTCTAGAGCATTTTACACTAACACGTAACAAAAGTCCCATTTACTGCCAATTGGAGGAGATATGCCACATATTTTAAAATTCTGCAGAGAAGACCTCTAGTGGTTACACAAATAAGAATTAAGTGATGAAAAGTCATAGGAGCAGGTGGTCCATTTTTAATGTATTAATTAATCATATGGAAATGTATATTGGTTATCTGGAGCAACACTTAAGGACATTTAAGCAATACTTAATGGCATACTTCAGCTCGATATAGAACTGGCCAGTGAGAAGTGATTGGTCCCGTGGTAGCACTATTGTTCTCAAAATTTCACCCCCAAAATGAACTCTTTATTGTCATTCGTCCCTATCTAATGAACTATAGCTATATATGTGTGTATATATGTATATATAGATATATACATATACATATATATATATAAATTATTAATCTGTTTTCTCATTTTGATTAATGAAAGACATAGGTCTGTTCAACATGGGAACACTGATTATTTCACACTGATATTCCAGCCAAAAGCAAATAAACATAACTTTGGTTAATGTGTGCGGTACAATTTGGGCAAAATTATTATTTCAGTTGGGATTTTTTCAAATATTGGCAAGTTTGCAGACACCAGAACACTTGTCTACCTCGTTGTTGCATATTAAGGCAGGCATTCCAAACCACTGCTGTCCAGTTCCTGGTCATCAGTGTCCTACTGGTTTCCAGAATACACAAATACATGAATAGATATTCCACTCAAGTGATTTTAAGTAAATGTGTTAAATCTTCTGTACCATATAGTACTATACCAGAATTCAAAAAAAAGTGACATTCCCTAAAATAAATGTATAAATTATATTTGGTTTTGCTTTGTTTAAGATATATGTGGACCTACAATGCCTTGCTAGTAAGCAGTTAAAAAGAAAAAGAAAAAACTCTGAGTTAACAATTTTTTTTTTCTAAATTATTGCTGGTTGTGCCTCATTATTTAGTAATTTGAAGAGTGAAAAGAAGTCTCTAGTGGAAGTAAGCAGTGGTATTCCAAATGATCTAGTCATCTTTATTTCCATGACATAGAAGGAAATAGCACTAAGCTAAAAGCAGGAGAACACCATCTCAAAAAAGATACAGAATATATAGCTGTGTTACATTTCCAGAAAGTGTGTGACAAGACTGAATACAGTTAAAATTAGTACAAGGAACATTTGTGGGTGATTTCATATACCATAGTTCAAAACAGAAGATGGGAATTGTTCTTCAAGATGCAATTAATAAAATTACAACGAGGCTTTTGTCTTTCTGTGGTCAACATTATTTATATGAGAAACTATCTTTGCATATTCGCTCTTTAAAACGAACTATAATAATAATTTAGAAACTGCAGCAGAAGTATTACTCATTGAAGAACAAAACCATCTCCTTTATTACTTAGAAAAGCATTGATGGGTCTAAGACCAAACTCATACTCATTTTTTACTACTCCTGGTATCTGTACGTGTTGCTCCCTTTCTATATAAAGAAAATTACTGACTGAGTAAAGGGAGTCTATGAGTCATTTTTGCTAAAATTTACCTGCTACTTCCAGGCAAAGTCAATTCCCTATTTGCCTATTAATTTTTTACCATATTTTTGATTGGAACTTGCATTTATTAATTAATTAGTTATTTCATTAGGCCAAATTGAATTGTCATTATTTTAACACTAAAAAAAAATTGAATATTAGCAGACTTCAAATTCATGTATTTGAAATACATGTTTCTTTCAATCTACATGTTGCAAGTATCTTTAACAAAGTTCTAGTTTGTTTCTTTAAAACATATGATGCCTTTTCATTTTATTAAAATTTTAATCTCAATGTAGTCAATTTTATCCATCTCTTTAATGATTAGTCATTTAGCCTTATTTTTTAAATTATTAATTATATAAAAATTAGTTCTCATAATTTTACCTTTCACATTTAAACAATTGTATGGAATTGGTTTTTTCTGTACTGATTATTGATTTTCCCAAGGTTAATTATAGAATAACTTATCCCTTACCCACTGATCTTCAATTCTCAGTCACAAATCAATTTTTTTTTGCATCTTCATCCTTTTAGGCTCTCTATCATGTTCCAATGCTCTGTTTTTCTAATCCTGCATCAATACCATGCTTTTTATGTATGAAAAATTTGTAATAAATCTCGATGTTTGTTAGGGTATTTTCCCCTGTCGTGTTCTTCTTTAGGAATATTTCAGCTATACTTGTTCATTTGCTAATCTCTGACAAATATAGAAGAGATTATCAAGTTCCGTGAAAATTCCTATAAGAGTTTTAGTAGAAATTATATTAAGATATAAATAAATTGAGAGAACTGACAGCTTTATTCTGTTTAGTCTTCTATACCAATATCGTGGTTTCTTTATTTTCTTTAATATATGTTAAAATGTTTTTATTTTAGCTACAAGAGATTTTCACATATTTTTTACACTTATTATTAGTACCGCATGTACTTTGTTTCTTTCGTAAATATTACCTTTTTAAAATTATATTTTCATCTCATTGTTCACCTGATTGTTTTATGCATTGATTTTAATTCTAGTAAACTTCGAAACCTTTTTTTTTACTTATAAAAATATATCTCAACACAGAGATATGTGTGAGGAGCATGATAATATGAGGAACTCCACAGAATTGCTCCCCAGTGGAACTGGGGAGAATTATAAAATAACATTTAAAAAAATGAGTGTCTCTGGAAATAGTCCTGGAGACAAGCAGCAAATGCAGAAATGTTTATTCAAGAAAATCTATTAGAGTCTGGTAGGAACCTAGTTCCTTCATCCGTTCTCTCAGCTCTGCGAGATGGAAACTCCACTCCAAACGGGTTCAGCCAAGAACACAGGGCTCCCCCACCCCCACCCCACCCCACCCCCAGCTAGCAGTTGGAGGGCAAGGTGTTGCCAGTTCTCACCCTGCTCCTAGCTACCTATTGATCAACTGAATTCTGAATTGGTATGGCCAAGAAGAGGGGCTCCTTTCTTCTTCACAGCCTATACTTGTGCAGCAGAGGCTCTACCTTGGCAAGGCTTCACAGGGAATACAGGGCCGCAATTGTGCTTGCCCTGGATTGTAAAGCAGTGGTTTCACACTGGGAGAGCCAAGCCCAAAAGACTTGAGGCTACTGTTCCCTTGCATCAAGTGCCCGGCTCCTACAGTAGAGGCGTCACTCTGAGAAACCCAGCATAGTCTCCAATTCAGCTCCAAAGCCAATGGCTCAAAGTTTTGCCTCAGTGGAGAAGCAAAGAACCCAGGAAAGAGAGGCAGAGGAGGCTGCCAGGTTCAAAACAAATCTGAAACACTTGCCAAGGGAAATACCCTTTTGAAGGAGCCCAAATTGGGTTGGATTAGTCTGTAGAACAATTTAGGGCCCCAAATTAAAACAATACAGAAATCATCTGGCAATCAGTGGAGTTTAACAACTTGGGTGTAGTCAGGGAAAGAGACAGTAAACCCCTCCAAAACCACTGCCATTCGAGGGTGACTGTGGGCATACCCAAGACTGGGATCCCCTGAAGTGAAACATTAGAGGCTTAACACTGCAGAGGGGAAGTAGACTTTACTAAAGTAATCTAGCCGATCATTAAACAAATAAACAAAGAAATTACAGTAACAGGCCTTCAGTGAAAAGTCAATATCAGATTTGCTATAATATATTCTCTAAAAATGTCCAGTCTTCAACAAAAGATTACAGGATATACAAAGAAATAAGAAAGCACGACCCATAAACTAGAGCAAAACAAAACAAAACAAAAAAGCAGGCAAAAGAAACTGTCCATGAGAGCAAACAGATATCAGATTAACCAAAGACTTCTAAGGAGCCATTGTAAACGTGTTCAGTGAACTACAGTAACCCTTTAAAGAAGGAAATGAAGGAGTGATAACAATGTCATATCATAGAGAATATCAAAAAAAGAACATAATGGAAGATGTGGAGTTGAAAAGTACAATAACTAAAATGATAAATTACAAACTCTAAATTTGAATTGGCAAAAGAAAGCATTAGTGAACTTGGAGCTGGATCAATAGAAAATATGCCAGCTGAAGAAGAATATAGAGAAAAAAGAAAGAAGAAAAATGAAGAGAACCTCAGAAAAATGTGGGACATCATTAAGTGCACAAATATACCTGAAATGAAAATACTAGGAGACAAAGAAAAGAAAAGAAAAAATATGGCTGAAAACTTCAAAATTTTTTGGAAACATTAGTCTCCACATTCAGAAAGCTCAACAACCATTAAGAACGTAAACACAAAGAGATTCACAAAGAGACAGAAAAAAAAAATGCTGAAAGCAAGAGAAAATTGACTCATCACTTCCAAGGGAACCCCAATAAGATGAACAACTAAATCTTTATAGAAATAATGGTCACCAGAAGGAAGAGGGCTATCACATTCAGAATGCTCAAAGCAAAAACTTTCAACCAAGGATCACATATTCAGCAAAGCTATCTTTAAAAAAAATGAAATAGAGACAGTCCCAGATTACAA